CTTCTAGTCTATTTTATCTTAGTCTTTCAAAATTTATTTTGTATGTATTTTATAACATATATAGAAAACAACCACATAAAAGTTTAGAGGTTATTGTTCTAGGCACTGGGTGATTTTTGAGCACTCTTTTAGTACCTTTATATCCTACGGTATGACAAATTCCACATGGCACTCTTATCCCATTTTCAAGTCTGACTAGTATTGAAAAGTTGGGCCTCCAAAGTCTATTGCACGCCCTACCAACAAAATCATATCCCATCTGATATCAAATTACGCACTTTTAATACCTACTCATAATTTTAGTTCTTTAGTCCTCAACCACCTTAAACAGCTTGAAATTAAAACTAAAGAGCCTAGAATTATATGTTAACTCAACACCTTTATCTATGCTGATGTCTACAAAAAACATGGGCACAGCCGTAACAGAATGTCTTATATGCAAATGCCATCCTTCAAGTGTGATACAATGGGAAGAAGGGAAGGACCACTAGGAATTCTAGAAGTCAACCTTAAAAATTTAACCTAGAGCAATCCTCCTATGATATAATTATACTACAACAGAGACTACAAAGTTCTAAAATCATATCAGAATATTGCCAAACAATGTGTTACAAAATGCTACTTTTAAAAAATTTAAAAGAAATGCTATTAAGGACAACCCAAAAATCTCAAGGGAATGTTAGTAATAAATGTTGGTGTTATTCGTACTACTGGCTATTAGTACAAAGATAACCAGCCTTTTCAACTGTTCATTTCCAAACACTGATGGTTCCCATTGCCAGAATATATACAAGTTTCCAATGATGTACAGTAAGTTGAGAATGAGAATGTAGTGAATTATTAATAAAACTACATTCTTTTCTTTCTAAATACTATCTGACTTGGGAGAGCATGGTGTTGGTAATACTAAGGTCACAGGTCTGGATCTCCATACAGGCCATCTGCAAAAAAAGCCTAGCAACCAAACAAAACACAAACAAACAAACAAACAAAAAAACTATCTGTACAAGTCTATTTAATTTATGAAATAACTTTACTTGAAAAATTTTTTTAAAAAAACCTGTATTGGTGCCAGATTTGTTTTGGGGGGGGCACGATTTTACATTTCTACCAAATTTATTTTTCAAATTTTCCACTTCAGTGTTTATTTTTTAAAAAAACCTGTATTGGTGCCAGATTTGTTTTGGGGGGGGGCACGATTTTACATTTCTACCAAATTTATTTTTCAAATTTTCCACTTCAGTGTTTCTTCACTGGCTTAGATTATTACTAACATCTACCATACTAGACCCCTAAAGTGATGAAATACACAATAAACAGCAATGTAGGCAACTTGTAATTATCTGTTATAATATTACAATAAAACTGTGATACAGGAAAGTACCCCAGGTTCTCCATGGGCTTTATCCATTTCCACGGAAGATAACACCACTCTTCCATTCTCAAAGCTCTCTGTCCTCCCACAATTGTGATATTCACTTACCACATCCCAGTGATTATTCCTTAGGACGACTACCTTTAATATATACGGCATCTTCAGAACTTTAGAGTCCTTAGACTATTATTTCCTCCAGGATTACTAATGTTAGTCTCTTTTGTGCCAATCCATCCCAAACAAAACTACCTCCAGATTTATCTTCCAAAAAAATAGCTTAGGACACCTCCTGCTCAAAACCTTAAAATCTAGAGGCTAAAACTCAAATCAACAGTTTGGCATTTCAAACTGTTTTATTATTTACTGATAGGTCTCATTCCTATTTATTTCCAGGAAGTTTACCTTGCTGAACCCTTTGTTCTAGTCACTCGTAAGATATACTAGTGATATAAAAACAGCCTTTCAGGGACAAAAAGAAGTGTGTTACTGCACTAAATTTGCACCTCAATTGTACGATACATTCCAGACATGATTGAACTAAGTTGATGGTCCCTTAAAAACACAGTAATTGAATGAGTTCTCTAAAGCAAGTTTTATATTTGGTTCTGGAATGCAGTAGACGTAATTTAAAATGTAGGTAATGCAATAACACTGACATTAAATATTTGTTTTTACATTAGTACAGAATGTAAATATATTAGAACCCACTTTTTGGGGTGGGGGACTGGGGAGAGATTAATTACAATTAATTATAATTAATTTATATTGATCCAGAAACATATAATTCCAACAGACTGTCTTTTCATCAGAAACTAGAAAGCAAATCTTACCACAATAAATGTGAACTCATTGCCATTTACCAACATCAGGAAAAAATTTATCTGTTAACTTCTCTGCTATCTAGCTTTGCCATTAGAAAGCAAGCTCCACGAAGGCAAGGACTTTGTTCACCCATGCAACCTGGCTGCCATGAGTAATACGTGGAATACAGTGGCCACTCAAAAATTTTGTTGAATAAATTTGCCTGGTGAACCCAGCACTTCAAGATGATAGAAGGCAAGATGCTTGCTCATTAGCAAATATCACTGAGGGCACATCATGAGCAAGGAGCCATGTGAGACACAATAAGCAACCAAGACAGAGACAATGGTATTTGTATCCAACTCTGGCAGAACTCCAGCACTTCTGCTCTATCTAGTAAATGATTGATTCCCCAAAGTCAGTTTATTTCTTGTCTTATTTCTCATGCAGCTTACTTTTGCATGTGTCAGGACGATTCTGTTTGCAGAAACTGGGAGTAGAGCCAAATAGGACCCCTTGCCTCAACTGTCTTTTAAAGTTGTATATGTGCCTTTGAAAGTACGTTAGTTTTTAGGAATGGATAAGGAGATTTGCTACTTCAAAGATAATAAAGAAAAAAATCCAGAAGTCCACTCCATAGTTCAGAAATATTTTTATAATGCTCCCAGATGTCATAACACAGTGGCCGGCAAACTGCCAAAACAGGGGAAGGTCATGATTTTTCCATGATGTTTTTTGTTTTGTTTTTGGTGTAAAAGCACTCTTGCGTTTAAAGGATCAAGGACAAGACAAAAAGCTACTTTCCTATACTTAATAGTAATATACAGTTTTCTTACTTTCCTATTATTAAGTCTTCAACCCCTCAAAAAATCATTTAGATTTATTTATACTATTAATAAGAAGTTGAGACTCAAATGTCAATATTTCAGAAACCTGCCAAAATCTTACTCTTTTCTACTTTTGGTATTTCGGAGACAGTCTAAAGAATAGATAGGACAGAAATGGTACTGACCAACAGTCAATTCTCACAATATTTTCTTCTAAAAAGATCACTGCAAAGTTATACAATGCAATCACATACTAGAACAAAAAAAGCCAAGCACTGAAAATTCACTGTCTAAATATTAATGCTTCCAGCAATTCTATTCTCTCCTCTCTTTTCTGTCATCAGGAAATACGCCATAGAACTTCTCTTAAGAAAGACTGCCCTTCAGTCAAACAGGCTGTTTCTCTGCTTGCCTTTACAGTAACATTCTTGAAAGCATTATCTGTAATGGTTCCCTCAATTCCTTCTGCCCATTCTCTCTTTAATTCATTCCAACCAAGGTTTCATCCTTTTTCTCCCTCTACCAAAACTGCTCACCAAGGTCTCCAACAACCCTACCTCTGCCAAAGTCAATAGTCTCAATTCTTAGTCTTCATCTTACTTGACCTTTCTGCATCATCCAACAGAGATGGATCAGTCCTCTTTCCTCTCTGAAACACCTTCTTCCTTTGCTCTCCACATACCACACTCTCCTGGTTTTCCTTCTGTTTATTAGTCATTCCTTTCCAGTTCTTTCCTAATCTTTCATACCTCTAAGCCTTGGAATACCTCAAAGTATAATTCCTATGCCTATTCTTTATCTAAGCTCCTCCGCACTCTCTATTCCCCTCTGCTCTATTTTTCTCCTCAGCATTTAATGCCATAAGACATACCGTACAGTTCATTTATTGACTTTTTAAAAAAATCTACCAACAAGAATATTTCATGAGGGTAAGAATTTTGTCTTTTTACATAGTGTATTCCCAGTGCCTAAAACAGATCTAATTCACTGTAGGAACTCAATTACTCTGTGTCGAATGAGTGAATGAACAAAAACAAAAATGGTAATAGTAACAACCTCTTTGCGCTAGAAACTTATCAGCCAGATACCCCAATAAGTATGTTACATACATTTCATTTACGCCTCAAACAAGCCTATGGGACCTCTAAGGCTCTGGAGAGAAGCGAGGATGGGGATGATTAAGTGGTAATAGTAACAACCTCTTTGCGCTAGAAACTTATCAGCCAGATACCCCAATAAGTATGTTACATACATTTCATTTAAGCCTCAAACAAGCCTATGGGACCTCTAAGGCTCTGGAGAGAAGCGAGGATGGGGATGATTAACATATACCAAATCACAAAAGTACTAAGTGGCAATGCCATGATTCAAACCCAAGTTTATCACCTTCAAAGTTAATGCTCTTAACCACTGCATGGTATGAATTTTACTGGTGTACTATTATTTCATTAGTTTTGAAATAAAGCCACCTCTGCTATTCAAAGAGTCAGCAATCGAAAGTTCACTACAGTTGTAAATTAATCTCCCTTTTCTTTGTGAAGACAAACATTTGTTTAGTAACATCACCTTAGAAATTTTAACGGAGATTCTCTAAGGCAATGCATTCTACACTGCCACTTTCACTGATCAACAGCGTGAGAAAGCAGGCCAGTCTCCTTCAGAGTGTTGATGGCAGCACTGAAATTTTCAATCTCTCCCTATTTCCACTAAAAAGCTTAAGCCTGTAGTTTTCAAACCTAGCTGAAAAGTCACCTAAGAAGATTTCTGTTTTCTGAAAGCAAGATTCCCAGGCCCAACTCTAGAGCAACAAAGAATCGGAATCTCTAGGAAACAGGGCCCAAGAACCTAGTATTTTATAAAGCTCCACAGGAAATCTTGATGGTTAGCCAAGTTTGGAAAACACTAGTTAAATGAAACAAAGTTGGCAAGAGACTAATCCCCCTATCTCAGCATCTGGCTCACTGTTTGACAATGACCAAAATGTCACTGGTACTGACCTTCTTGGAAAGAGGAACAATGTTGTTGGGTCGAACAAGCCTCCGTTTCTTACAGTTCAGTACAGGACGTGTTCGGGCTGCCACACAGGTGCCATCAGATGATGAAGAAACTAGATTCAGTCGCTGCTTTTTATGTAACTGTTCCTCAGCATCAGAGCTGTCACCTGGAATGTGGTCTGTCAAGACAGGCTGAAGACTATACAAGGGGAAGGAAGAATATTGACTTCTCAGAAAACACAAGTAAACAAAGCTTCCACTAGTGGTTAAATCTCTACTTGCAAAAGTTCACAGACACAAATAAGCATTCTAGAGCAGAAGCAGGTCATTTCTTGATGATCATGTCTGATAACCTAAGAGCGTGTACACTATTTCTGTGTTTATTTGTAAGGCTCTTGGTGCACATTTACTCCACCAAATCTGAAAAGTAAGTTAACTCAAGTTTTAGTGATTAAATTCTCTTGTACAACAGAAAAATAAGTAAAGCCAGTCTAGAAAATTGCAATTGAAAACTAAAATCAAATGGAAAAAAAAAAAAAAAGATGAATTTTGCAAATGTTAATGGGCTGCCTTACAATCAGTTCTCTCCTGTGAAACATGAATTTTAGGGATGTGTACACATTGTTCAATTGTATAGAAATTCCTTGAACCTTCCTAAATATAGATTTACAAACACAGCCTTTAGGGATCTAGTCTGTTCTAGAGCAGAACAGTTTATGTAAAAACACTTCTGAAGAATTCCTCCAAGATTAGGACCAATAACAACGATTCATAGTAGCTGTAGAATCTTTTATTTTTCTCCATACCCAGCCCATTAGGCCACAGTAGGTAAAAAGGGAAATACATGAACATATTTGTTAAAACATATTTGGTACAGTAGGAGGCATGCAAAATATTAATAAGTGATAAGGTTTCTGCTTTTTTAAATCAGTGTCAGTCCTGGCTAGAGATAAGTAAGACCTACAAACTCACATTTTATAAGCCCACTAAGTATAAGAAGTAAAAGGGATAAAACTTACGTGTTAATAACTCCATTGACAGGTCTCAACCCTCCACATGATTTGGCAGACAATGACTCTGAAATATGACCAGTAACTGGGGCACCATGGTTCTCCAATGGCTGAGAAACAGACTCAATCTGAATAAGAAGAAAAATAAAATATACATCAACATTTACCCAACAGCGACCCTATCTGAAAAGCAGCACTATTTCATTTACATGAAGCACCTAAAATTTCTGATAACCAACTTGAAAAACAAAACTTGTATGGTTGAGGAAAAAGAAAATAATTAAGAGAATTAGCTTTTGCTTTGGGGGGAAAGGGAACAAGGAAACCAAATATTTGTCAGAGTAAAAGTAGTAATAAGTGCCTACTGACAGGGAAATGACCTTGGTAAGATAATTCTACAGAACAGAAGCTTAGCAAAAAGAATTACATACTAACATGAGCCTTTAACTAAGGGTCAAGAAGGATATACTTACATCAGTCAAGATAACTAAGAGGAAATTTAAATATGCTTAACTCTATGGTGTATGCTGGAGGCTTGTTTTCCAAAACTACTTTGTTTAAAAATATACATATATATTTTTCGGTGACAGAAGAAAAATAAAATTACTAAAATCTCAATCAACTACCTGATAGTATCAGGTAATAAGTTAGTAACTACTGTCTTTACATCATACAAATCAAATATACGTTTAGGATATAAAATGAAATGAGAGCCTGGGGAAGAAAACGAAAAAATATGAATTTCAGTATTCAAAACCACTTATATATCTACTAGTTTCAAATGAGAGAGGGGCAGATTTGAATGTCAATCATTATGGCATCTCTGAGGTATAGGCAATAAAGCCACAGATGCAGCTATCCCTCAGTTCTGGGAGTTATTATTTCTGAAATAACACACAAAGACTGTGGTCTTTGTCTCCTTACACTTAAAAATTGACTTTGGGGTGTTGTTAAGTTTTCCTTCCTGTAACTGCTACCAGTACATTTCAAGGTCAATATTTTGAGGCTGAACAGATTATGAAGATAACTAAAAAGTTTTAATATTTACGGGCCGGCCCATGGCTCATTCAGGAGAGTGTGGTGCTGATAACACCAAGGCCCCGGGTTCGGATCCCATATAGGTTTACTGTTCAGGGAAAACCTCAAAATGCCTAAACAAATATTATAGTATGACGAAGGACTAGAAAAACCGAAAGAATTTAAGATTCAGGTTGGCATTAACAACCACATGTGTGTTTGGGCATGTTATAGCTTTTCTAGATTTCAGAAGTTCTGGTTTAGATGAAGAAGTTCCCTTTGAACATGAAAATGCTGTTGACTATGAACTTTTTGCTGGCATACCGATCTTAAGAACTTCTATCAATCTTATGTTTACTTAAAATATAGTTTTTAGCATTAAATTATGGCAGTGGTCTGATTTATATACATCAACATGTTCTACAAGGCACCATGTTCAAGTAATGGATTGACTCTCCATTTGATTAAGGCTTTTTTTGTAGGAATTATGAGAGATGAAACTGCAAGAAGACTGTCAAGACAAAATGTCGCCATCTTTAGAGGTTGGCCAGTTAGCTCACTTGGGAGAACGTGGTGCTGGTGAGAGACCAAGGTTAAGGATTTGGATCCCTGTACAAGCCAGCCGCCAAAAAAGAGTAAATAAAATAAAAGATTGATTGTGTAGACATCAAGAGACTGAGCAAAAAGAGATTAAATCTGCAGAATCAAAACTGACACTTTCTGTTCTTTACATTATGACAAAGCACATCACAATTATGAAAAGGAAAGCTCTTTGCTGCTTCAGATAACAAAATAATCAGTCTCTAGCCATCTAGGTCTGGCTCCCAAAATAATAAAGCTTTGAGCATTTCCCATAAGTTGGCCTCCTCAGCAAAAAGCAGATTTATCCCTGATTTCTGCCATGGTGATATCTAAAGATAAGTCTTGACATCGTGAATATTGTAGTATTTTTCCATGATGAATAAGTGTATGTATACTTGTGACCTTGGTAATTTTGTGGTAAATTTCAACACGTCGAGGAGTGTGTATATATTTTAAATGATATTAACTTTAATGTAAATTTTATTGATTTTCTGAGAGAAACCTGACATTTCCTGGGGTAATTCGGACCCCAAGTCAAAATTAAAGTCAACAGACAAAACACAGAAATGTTGTCAAAAATATAGCAGCACAGAGACATCAAGAGCATAAACATTAGAGAGGGATTGTGCCTGGATTCCAGTCCCAGCCTTACAAAGAGGCACTAGATATTCAGGAGAGAACTGCTTAGAGACCTTGGAAAATTCTGCAATCAAGCTGAGATCCAAAAACAGGACATTTACGCAAGCAGGTTTACTCATTCTCAAATGCAACCCCAATCATAGTGTTCCATTTGCAAAAGGAAAAGTAATTCACAAACACATGTAATTTCACCTAGAGGTCCTTAAATGCATTCACACTGTCTTAAGACCAAGTGAACACTCCTTATCTTTAATCTAGAAGGTTGCAAACACAGGGGGTAGAGAAACATTAACAAACACTCTAGAAATGTTAAGTCTACATAATTTAAGTCTACATAATTTAAGTTTTATTATTACTACTACAGTGGTTTATGGCATTAGTGTTTTCAGAAAACTAAAGTATGACTCATTCATCTGTCACCCAATAGGAAACTGTAAAAAGGATGAAAGAAGTTAAGGCTCTACCATCCAGATAATAAGGGTTATCATAGAAGCTTCCATTTGAATTTTGTTTGATGTTTAGATGTTCTCTGAGGGTTTATACATCCCATACCCACAAAGAAAAGAGTAGAAAAGCTAAAGTAGTAGATAGAATGCTTCTGTAATTCCTTTTGAGCCAAAGCAGGGCCCCAGGGGATTGCCATTTGGAGCAATCTTAAGGTAGCAAGGAAGGTTGCTGAACTGATTTTTTTCCCCTGACTGAAAGGGCCAGGTGACCGACATAAAATGATTAACACAGCAACGAGATTCAAATTTGTTATTCATATAAAGCAGGCGTCTGTCTGATTCATTACTATACCCTCTCAGCCAGACCAATTAGTCTGACAAAGAGCCCTTGAAGAAAAGTTATATTAAATTAAGAGGTTTTATGGGGGGGGTTCCTGGGATCTAAGAACCAATGCGCACTAGATTTATTTTACCAAAAAGGAGAGAAAGTAAATAAGTAAAAACAAAGAGGCACACACTTAAAAACATGGTAAAATTAAACCATATCTGCAAGATACATGTATATGTATTTTACTTTAGCCACTCAATTAATGCCATGTCCCACCTGCTTGAAATACCATTTTCTTAAATGCATCATATTCATTTGACCAGAAAATTTACATTTGGTTTTGGTTAGTTATTCCCCTTCTGACAAACATGGAATGAAAAGGCTAACTGGTTTGAGAGGAATTCAACTTTTATTCCTGGTTCAAAATAAATCAGTTTTCTACTTTGTATGAATTATTTTATGTCTCAAGCTCCTCATCTCAATGATACTCAGCATAGTTTTGCTTAAAATCACCACAATATTTTGCTGCGCTATAAATAGTATACCAGTCATTTCCATGAACTAGCACCATGGATGAAATGTTCTGAAAATCCCACTTCTATCATATTACTTACCTGGGCTTCAATTTATGCAAATGTAAAATGGGGTAATGTGCCTCACTTTCCTATGTCTGTAGGTTTAGGATAAAGAAAATCTATAATTACATGAGAACGATTTTGATTTAGCTCATTTTAAAAAATTTTGATCACCACAATGCTGTTACAAATCCAATGGCTCTTAAACCTAATATTTATAACTTACCAACATTGTTGAAAATATGCATCTAGAATCTAAAGAAATACAGCAGTTACAAAAACAGTCCTATAAATTCTTATTGCTCAACTTATTTATCCACAACCTAATTTACTTTAAAAGGCCTAGTCTGTAATTTAGTACTGTGGGGATCAAATATTTCCCAGCCAGTATCTATCCTTTTACTGTCTATCATAAAACCTTTGTCAGGCCAATGCACCACTCAATGTCCCTGGTGATTGAAAAACTTCAAGGAAAAGTCAAGTCATTCCTGCTTAACCAGTGGTACAAAGAATGTATGTTGGACTATTTAAAAAGAAATAGCAATAGCTTCCATTTTTAGCATGCCTTTCTTCTGAGAAAGCATTAATTCTTCTCTTAATAGTTCACTTGTTTTTCCTATCACTTCCATAAAGTCAGATGAGTAAGGAAAGGGTAAAAGAAAAAGCCTCCTTTTACAAATAGAAACTAACATACAAATAATGACATTATTTGTCAATAGCCATAGAAACAAGGCTCTTGCTAAACAAAACAAACCCAATACTCAATTTTTTTTTTTTTTTTTTTTTTTTTAGGGTAGTAGGCATGATACCTTTTTGTATAGCTTTTAGCAGCAGGGTAATGTTCCACATGCTCCAAAAAGCACAACTGTTTTGTGTGGGGATGGGTTGGGGGGGACTAGCATTAGAATACTGTAGTAGCAAATGAACCTAATATAACCACACTGAAAGTGTGGGGGAAGAGAAGAACTAACGTAAGCAACTTCAGAAAATAGCATTTTGACTATAAAATACGGCTAGTATACCATACACAAATATTGTACTTAGTAAACTTATTTCTCACAAGGGCTTCAGATGAAAACTATGAAACTATATTGGTACTATGATTGAACAAATATGTATCAATAAGGAAGGGGGAAGGCTGTTGTGTTGGACTGATATAAATTCATGGTTTTTAAAATATATAGGGATGGGTAGATAAAAAAAATATAGAGGTGTGTGTATATGCATGTGTGAGCATACATATACACGTTTCCTAGGTTTGTTTCTTGAGAAATCCTAGATCAACGACACCAAGTAGCAATGAGCACAACTAGAACCCAGATGTGGGTTACTAAACACTGCTCTCCAATAAAAAGAACCAGGGCTGGAGCAGGCAAAATACAAGATGAGTCTGGAACATCTTCTGGTGTCAGAAAGTGAACATACAAAAAATGAGGGGTACATGTTGAAAGGACACAGGAGCCAACTTGAAAGATCTCCCAATACCCAAAGCTGAGACAAATGAATAGTAATAGGTTATAATCCATAAAATAGAATTAATA